GTACGAGCCTCTCCCCAGGCCATGGGAGCTCCCTGCTGGGGCTGGAGGAGTGTGCCTCCCCTCTGACTCCAGCAGGGAGCTCCCACAATGAGGAGAGAGGCACCTCTCCACCAGCCATGGCAGCTCCACGCATGCACGGCAGCCCTGAGCCCCTGCATGGGGCTTATTAGGCAGCTGTGCGGCCACATGGCCATGCAGCTTAGAGGGAACTATGACCTGGAGCACTTGCTCTGACTTCAGAGATGCAGTGTGGGGGGCTGAGAGCTAGGCTCACTGCTTTTGGTAGAGCTTCCTGCTCCAAGCCTAGGTGCCTCTTCAGACTCCCAGCTCCCTACTCCAAGTGCAGCTGTCATCCAGGCTCTGGGCTTCTAGCCCCGATGACAGTCAGGCTCAGTGGTGGGAGGAAGGACGCAAGAGCCTGGGAAGCAGCAGGGCTGTGGGAAGCCAGGAGCCCCCCCACCACTCCAGGGCAACAGACTGAGCAGTGATCCCAGCAGTTTTCCCTGTAAGCTGAGCACTTGGGCAGCAGCCCAGGAGATTCCAATGCCACCCAGCTGATTAGCAGAGCACCCAAATCTCCCACAGCCAGCAGCATGTATTTCTATTGGTGGAACACATTTGCACATGCCTTGTTGCACTTAACAAAATGTATTCCACACATGGATGGAAACAAATTGGAGGAAACATTGGATCCCAGTGCAGGATCCACAGCAGGGAGCCATGAGCCTCTCTCATCAATTCAATGGCTCCATTAGGGAGCCATGAAATTGACAATTAGGACTGCTACAGATGATCTCAAGAATGCAGTGTCTACACAGACACTGTCGCCCTAATACCACCAACATAAGCCCTACGTCTCTCTTGGAGGAAGAGTTGTTACGAAGGTGTAGTAAGCCACCAGCGAGGGCAAGGCTAGGTCAATTTAAGCCGTAGATCAATATAATTCTGTAAGTGCAGTGTGCAGACCAGGCCTAAAACAGGGAAGAATAAGTCATAGAACGCATGATCCTGCTTCTACTTAAGTTAATTGCAAAATTCTCACTAAATTCAATGGAAACAGGATGAGACTCACTGTCTCCAAGAACTGCTATTTCTAAGATCTGGTAACCAGACTAAACAGCCACCATCTCATGAAGCTATGATATAGCTGTGAGAGAGAGCGAGAAAATATATTATTGAACTCATCAAGAGATCATTGCCACCTATGATATCAAATGGACTGAAATCAACAGAATATTTTAAATTCTTACTCTGGCACACTCTTAGGTTAAGTTCTCCTCTCTTAACTACATGGCATAAGTATACTTTGGAGCATATGGATCTGAGCTATAACTTTAAAATGTAGTCTATTTACAGCCTGATTTTTGGATGTGCTCATTCAAGTTGTTAAATATCTGCAGCCTTAGCTTTATCCAACTTTTTGATTGATTACAACACTAAGTTTTAATTAAAGCTGAATCACATACTATTTTTAGTAAAGGAGGTAATCTTCAAAAGGTGTTAAATTGCAATCAAAAATGAATTAAGGTATTTCAAAAGTCAGAACCCTTCCACCTCACCCGACTCCCATCATCCTCTCCTGAAGTTGCTACGGAAGCTTTGTTTTAAAAACAAGTGATTCTGAAAAATATTTCAGTCAAAATAAAATTTCTAGCCTGTACAGTGAATGACACGTAAGTACAAAAATAAACCACTAAAGGAGAGCAAAAAAAAAAAGCGCACCCCTCCGAGTCTCTGAAGGAGTGAACCCTACAGTACAGTAAGTAATTAATACTGCTAGAGGCATTATGACAATTTACAGATTGTAACTGTAGAAATCTATACTCACCAAAGTAGTCAGCCTTAGGACGAGCATCCATCTCTTGCTCCAGACGCTGGGTAAGTGCTTCTAATTTTAATTCAGCTGCAGACGGCCCTTGTTCCTGTTGTGGAAGGAGGGTCTGACAGGGTAATTTTATTTTTGTAGAACTGGAATTCTCCTGGTGTCCAGGATCATGCTGCAGACTGCTTATGTTCTCTTTAAATGGAGAACTTGGAGCATCAGAAACCATTGACCTGTGTGAAGCTACACTGATAGCATTCTGCTCAGGACTTATCCCAGAGCCAGGACAATTAAGCCAGTGATTTTGTCCATGAACGATGAAATGGCTAGGAGACTTGGGGTAAGCCGTTTCTTGCTGATAATCTACACTTGGAGGCAATGGAGTAGGAGATGAAGAAGTGAAAGAGCTAGAATTGTCATGGTACCGTAATGGGTGGTCATGACTGGTGACCTCACTCTCAGGGTTTGAGCTAAATTGATTAGACTGACCTGAAAACCCTTGAGCAGGCAATGTTGATGGGGTTGAGAAGGAGGAAGATCTCGGCTGCTGAAGTCCCCCTGGTGTCTCATCCTCAAACCCTGGACAAGTGGAGAAGGGGGTCAGCGTAAGTGCAAAAGAGGAAGATCTCTGACTGGCTGGGTTTTGGTCATAGCCTCGACTGAGCCTATTGCTTTCATTCCCATTTTCCTGGCTTCCATACCCACTTTCTGAAGACCTGCAGGAGTTCAGTGACTGCTGATGCTGGTAAGGGTGAGGATCAGCGTGGGTTTTTGTAGGACTCCTTGGTAACTGATCACTATGATTATAATTTGACCGTGAACTCCCCATGCTGGATTTTGGGATGGAAAACTTACCAGCATCTCCTCCCCAAGATGAGATGCCAGTCCGGTTCTCCTCAGTATAATGCTGCCCATGGGGAAGAGACGGAGGAAAAGATGACCCTGCAGCACTGGGATTCATATGGGCTTCTCTGTGGAGCCCATGTCCTTCAGAGACCTCTGAATCCCCCAGATTCTCACTACAGCCATATTCTTTGCCAGCTGTTTTGCCATCTTGGTATAACTTTGTTCGCTGCCCCTCAGGAACAGCTTGCGGATGGTGTGGAAAAGCAAGCTGGTGAGCTGCACACACTGATGCTGTGGCCAGAGGAGGTTTGGCAATATTTTCTCCTGAATGCAACTTACTGGCTCCTGCAGCTAGTTTTTGCACAGGAAGGTTTGGAAGTTGCTGCTGGGCACTGAAACTGGCCCCACCATTGAGAGAGCCAGAGCCAGCCAACATCAGCTCTTCTTCTTGCTGCTGCTGTTGTTGCTGGAGATGGATTTTAGCCATTTTGGTGGCAAAAACTCTCCTAGTTTCCTCAAATTCCGGGTTGTTACCAGCAGCTTTGTCCACCCGAAAGAGCCCATCCTTGGAGGCTTCGTACAAATTGAGATCTTCTATGAACTTACTCGCCTCCAGGCCTAGATCATCATATTTATCCATTTTTATAAATTCACTAGCGTCCCCCTTCCACTGGGCGCAATTTAATGTTGAAAGCTGGAAGCCATCCAGGCCTCTAGCACCCGTCAGGGCTGAATTCACGTTACTTAGCAATCAAAAAAAAAAAAAAAAAAAAGGTTATAGGAGTTCCCACGCTTTGTAAAAACAATCCATTTTCTGGAGTTCTCGAAAAAACGGAGGCAAACAGACCTCAGCTTGGCTCTCCCGGCTCCGCAGCAATAGTGGCTTCCTACCCTAAGGAAGAAACAAACAAAAATGCAGCTTCGATTTTTATTGCCAATCTGGGCGGTGGGAGATGGGGGAACCCCTCCAAGAAGCCAGCGGGGAGAGGGCTGCTGGCCCAGAGGCCAGGCGGTCTCCCGTTCACCCCGCCATGCGGGCTCAATTCAGCCTGAGCTAGCAGGAGGCAGGCTCGGGGAGAGAGTTTGCAAGCGCCTCGTGGGCGCACACACGGCTCAGCCCAGCCCTCCTTATTGCCAATCTGGGCGGTGGGAGATGGGGGAACCCCTCCAAGAAGCCAGCGGGGAGAGGGCTGCTGGCCCAGAGGCCAGGCGGTCTCCCGTTCACCCCGCCATGCGGGCTCAATTCAGCCTGAGCTAGCAGGAGGCAGGCTCGGGGAGAGAGTTTGCAAGCGCCTCGTGGGCGCACACACGGCTCAGCCCAGCCCTCCCGCCTCAGGGCAGCCGGGGCGGGGAGGCCCCGGGGGGGGG